TTATCTACTTGTGTATGTTTTTATTAAAAAAACACCATTATCGTCGTAGAATTTTTATCGCAAAGACAGTTTTGCATAAACTATTATCATGCATGTCATAAAATTATTGTTTTGTAGGAATGTTTTGAGCATACTATCTTAATTATCTAAAAATCCATACGATAATTTTTGTGAAGGCTACAGTTTTAAACATTGCACTATAAATATTTAAAACTATTAAATTTAAATTTTTATCAAAATGTATATTTGTCAGACAACCAGCAAGATAATTTTATGATTTTTTAAAGCATTATTTGATTTTATTTTAAATTTATTATTTCAAATATATATATATATATATATATATATATATATATATATATATGTCAATCAGATAGATAAGCTCAAATATATAAGATAAATTTTTGTAAAATCTCATTCCAAAATAGAAGTTTTATTCCTAGCCTAGCATCGAAATTACTTTATTTTTGCCCATGTTTTCGAAATATTATAGCTATTTTGTTTATTTTTTTATTTGAATTATTTATATCTTATAAAATTATTTTTTATATAAATTAAATTCAAAGTAATCATAAATTGTTCAAGTAAATAATTATTGTTAAAAACTTCCATTATCTAACTGTTGTTTATAAGTAAAATTCCCGCCATGAATATATTCATCTAAAAATACCTGCCAAGTAGGAATATTGTTTATAAATTGTTATTGCATACGTACATAAGTACTTGTATAATTTATAATTTATAATATATAACAATTCATGCGTAATGTTTAATGATCGTTTTTGCTATCGATTATTTATTTATTGATCAATGGAATGTTTCAGAACAAAAACAGGATAAAAAAATTAAATTAGACTTACGATTGATGAACTAGTTGCTTACAATTGCGAAACCTTTTTTTATTCTTTGACGTAGAATTTTATTTTTCAATAAATAAAAAAGTTAGTAATAATAATTGTATTAGTAATAATTAGTTACGACGTCACATACCGTATTTATTACAACTTTTAGAGTAGATAACAAAATATTTAGGAAAAATCTAAATCTTTACACCTGAATTATCAAATAACTTTTTGAAAATGCAAATCTAGGAAATAATAAGAGTAATATATATGAAGATTAAATGTGTTTGTATATGTAAATAATGTAGATGATTAAAATGCTTTAAAAGGTAATACCGAGGTAATATAAATTCTTCAGGAGTTGTTAAATTATAGAATTTTTTTAGCAAAATACCTTCAAAAGTAGTATTTAATCAATTTATTACCTTTTTGATTTCAATAATATATTACTTCTTAAATTACTAAACGATTGGATCAATTTTTATAACATTTAATTCGATTATGGTTCAGACTCACAATACAATTTGATAAATAACTTATTTTTAGATAATAGTTTCTCCAATATTAAAGACAATTAAGATCTATTTTAAGTTAGTTATAAAATATAATAAAAAGCCAATGATTTCTGATTTATGATTTATTAACAAAATTTGTATTTGTAGTTGATTTCTGGCTCTATTTTATATATAAATTATGCAACCATAATACAATATTTAAAATTATATAATTACATGTTTTTCTTAAAAAATCTTTATTTGTTTATTGATTAAAAATTGTGTATTCGTTGTTAGTTTCTGCAATAAATAATGGACCCAAGTTTATGTATAAATCATAATATTTTTATAAACAAATAGTGCAAAACTAAAAATTAGCCATGAAATAATTCATAGAATATTAGGAATGGATGTAGGAAAAAAATTCGTTCAATTAAAACTCGTAGAAATTGAAAGACTCAAATTTTAATTAACTAAATTATTAATATAAATTGAATTAACAAATTGATAACACAGTCTAATATTATAAATAGTTAAAGTGTTAAATTTTAGGTAATTTCCTCATTATTAAAAAACAAAATTTTTGTTAAGATCAATTGTTAATTTTATTTATGTATTTATTTATTTTTAACAAACTGTTTATAATGAATCAAAAATATATAATGTAGTTATTATTTGCAATGCTTGATGAATGCACTATTTCTTATATAAATTATAAAACGCTATGTGCCAAATATGAAATTATAAAGTTCAAATTAATAAAACTCTATAGGCTGCCTTAAAAAATAATTTATATTGTATTTATGATTGGTTAGAAAATAGTTAGGCATTAAAAAATGGGCAATATGCACTAGCTTATACATCAAATAAATTTATAAGATTAGAGCTTAAAAACTATAATTACGAGAACATGTCTATATTATTCTCGTAGATGTGCTTTGGGGTTGGTGATTAAATGATATTAAATTTTTGTTCAACGTAAAACTATTTTGGTTGGTTTTGAAAATATTTTTTTAATAAAAAAATATTTACAAATCTGTGTCTATTATCTCTACTCACGTAAGGGTGCTTCGGGGTCGACGAGAGCTTTCGCTCGGCAGAGGGCGGTCGCCGCCAAAAGCACAACCATCGCCGTCATTTGTCCCATTGTAAATAAATAATTATTATAAATAGTTTCACGGCAAATCGTAATCTCAATTAGCAATACGATCTGCTTCCTGGTCGCTTTTGCACTGACTCGATCCTTATCGGTTCGACTGGCTTTATAGACTCACAATCAGCACCATGGGCAGGTTACCCTTGAAAATCTCGACGAGGCAAGGTCACCGCCTCATCTTGGATATGGATTTATTGTGTGCGTATTAATTTAATTTCAAACTGTACTAGTAAGAGTTTATGTAATTGATCGCAGTATGAACCACAGTTTCCCAAAAGGATAGAAATCACATTTTTCGTTATCAAAATCTTGTGAGACCAAATCATTTCTTGGCGATTCTTTGGTGATCCATCCACCACTGTCTTTTTTCCTTGATAGTAATTGCGTTTTATACATAAAGATACAAGTAACCAGGCACAGTATTCAGTATATCATATTTTTCAATAAAAGCAATGATTAGTGAAAATTCAATATATCAAGTTTTAAATTAGTTTATTTTTTTAATTAATCTTAATATAGTCTTAATATAGTCAAGCAAACAAAAAATTAAACAGAAACCAAAGCATAAATATTTTTTAAAATTGTTTAATCAATTTTCATTTAAATGAATATGAATATTTCATTTAAATGAAACCAAATTTAATTAAAATTTTCATTTATTTAAATGCTCTAATGTAGCTAACTAAAATATCACTTATGAGTCATTTGAAATTGTTGTTATTAATATAATGAAATTTATTAAAGCAAACGTCAGCAAAATTAATTTGAAATTTAAATGTGATTAATTTTATATTAACTTTTGCATTGCAGTCGTATGACTAATAGATAACAACTTAAAACCAAACAAAAAATTGATCAGAAATCTTAGTTCAAATGAAATGAAATCAGATTATTATATTTTATAAACAGAAGTATATTTTCGCATGACTTAATAATAATGATTTTATTTTTTACGTTATACATTAATTATTTAAGTCTGTTATAACAATTTTTTTAATTGGCCATTAATCTTTTCTCGTGTAGTATCGAGAATGAGTCCATATAAAAGCACTTTTAAAACCTTATTTATCTAGAAAATAAATCACACTATAATGATTTATTCAAAAAGCTAGATTCTAGTTACAATGAAGTCTGCTAAAATAACATTTTTATCTTTTTAAAAATTTGCTACCACAGGAAAATAATAATTTATCAAAACCAAATGATTTTGTTTATAATGATAAATCTAGACATCTGCTAAGATAACAAAAAGAAACTCTACTTTTTTCTCAATATGCAAATTATAAAGTTTTTTGCCAAATTCGCACTTCACTTGATTATTAGTATTGGAGATTATTTTTAAAAAACAGGAACAAATATCAAAACGTATGCTATTTACTGTTTACACAAACGTACTGTAAAAAATGTAGAATCTGCATATTGAGTGCTCAATACTGAACATAAAAATGTTATAACTATTATTCTTCTACTACAAATCACAAATTAGTGTTAATTTTTGAACTTTTGCTAATAATTTACCATAAATTATGTACTCAATAAAGTTATAAGTGCGAATAAAAATAAAAATGAGAGTCCTTTATCAGGGTAAATGAACTGACTAAAAAAAATGGCAATAGTGTAATTTCCAAGCAATAAATCTTAATACGTAATGTAATACCAATATCTTTGTTTGTGAGCGATTTATTAGTGCTAAAAAAAATTATATAATGACGTAGGTTCAAATACTTTGTACTCTTCAAATAATTGACTTTTTTTTTTAATGGAAAATTTTACTATAGGTGCTCTGATGATCATCAATCTTTTCTATAAAAGCACGTGGTCATCTTCAAAACAATTGTACATTTTGTTTACACGTTTTTTATTTCGTGGATTTAATTCGCGAACATTATATGAACAATGTAGTACGTCATTCAATGTAAAAAAGGTTCATTTATTTCTTTGGAGCATTTAATTAATGGGTGATAGACTAAAACTATGATCTGTTTTTTATCGGTTTGGGTAATTCTGTGTTAGGAACGACATATATCAAACTTTGGATTTTTATTAATGCACATCAAATAAAAAAAATACGTTTTCCATTTCTTATTAAATCTGTGACGTGATCGCATATCTAATGCATAAATTGCCCAAGTGAATTATTGTAATCAAAATAACAATTATCGTACGATTTCGTGAAGAATACTATAAAAACAACTGTTATATTAAAATTTTGATTATGATATTAATTAAGTTAATTATTTCTTTACGTAATATCACGATTTGAATCTGATGTTGTGAAATAATAATTTACTTGTGTAAATTAGTATAATACATTGTAAATGTTTATTACTGAAAATTACCTTAATTTTAGGTTATTTGCTGACAATGAAATTAAACTTATCAAGTGCAAATTATATAATGATGGATGGAAAAACTGATAATATAAAGATAGAACACTAAGGAATATTATTTTAAGCTATTATATCATTATCAATATTTTGAAATAATTTTTGTTTCAGTCTATAAGCAATGTCGAATACAAGCACAGATGATGAAGATGATGGAACTATCTTTCGTGAAACTCCAACATTGGAAGAAATAGAAAAATTTAGGCCTAAAGCAAGGAACGATATGCTGATAAGTGGTTGGGATGATCAGGATGAAAATATAGAAGTTGAAAGAAATCCACATGGTACTTTAGGGCTAATAGATTTCATGAAAGTTTCCCAAAAGTATTTACTTAATATTATGTATTTTTGTTATCAGAAACACCAGAAAAAGAAATACTATGGGCAGCTGAGAGTGGTGAACTTGAAGTAGTTGAAGATCTTTTAAAGAAGCATCCTCATTTAATCAATACTCGTGATAAGGATAATTATACACCACTTCATAGGCAAGATTATTTCATTAGTATATTCTTATATTTTTTATTTTGAATTTTATGCAAATTTTCTCTTGTTTTTGTTGACCATCTACGATACAAAAATTTAGAACTAATAATATTCTACTATAGAGCAGCGTACAGTCATAATTTTGATGTGGCTCATGCATACTACAACAGCTGGAGCTGATCCTAATGCAGAAACAGAAATGAAATGGACCCCTTTACACTCTGCTTGTAAATGGAATAATGCTTCAGTTGCTGGTTTATTATTGCAATATGGTGCCAATGTAAATGCACAAAGCAATGGAGGTAAAATATTGTTTATATTATATAAATTGTAAATAAGAAACAAACTTGTTAAGTTGATGAAATTTTATTTTTAGGTCAGACACCACTCCATGTTGCCTCTAGTTCCTCAGATTGTAGAGAAGTGCTAACAATATTACTTCTAACTGAAGGAATCAAGCCAAATATCTTGAATTCATCAAATGAGACTGCATTTGATATTGCAAAACGCTCCGGCAAATATTATTACCTTTTTGATATAGCTCATGATGCTCTTAATGATGAAGATTTATATTAATGCCTGTGATTCCTCAACCTGCCAATTGTTAATACATACGACAAAATAATATAAGATTAGCAAAATACAAATTTACAAATTAACTATTTGTATTTAACCTACTTCTACAATTGTTGTGTCGAGAATTCCCAAAGGGTACTTCACCTCTACAAGCACTTAGGATTTCATTCTTTTTAGGATGTGAAACCAAAGTAGGAATGACAGATTTAATTGAACTTTCTTCTCGATGGAGTTTCTTAATCTCCTTACTGCTCAAGAGATCCCATATTATGATGGACCCCTCTGTTGTACCACTAATTATAAGTTATCTGAATACATAATTGCACACTCTACAGCAAAATCCTGTGTGTTGTGACCACCATACCTATGTAGATAAAAAATATATGTGATAATTTTTAATCGTCTTTTTTCATAATTTATTTATAAGTTACTCTGATAGTAATTCCCCACTACTTTATCCATAAGTCTTAAAGTGCTATCAGCACATGCAGCAAGGAGCATTGATCGTCTCTTGTGATTTCAATATGTGTTATAGATTCTGAAAAGAAAAGGCTTGAGTATAAATAACACCATTGCAAAAACAAAACCCACGTACTTCCTATGCAATCTGTTATTAATTCACCGGCTCTGAGATCATATTTTCTAATTCTTACCATCTAAGGATGCACTAATTATCTCATGATCAGAAACCACCAAGCTGGATATTGAATCCTTGGCTTCTTTTAAAACCTGTATTATTGAAATTATCAGCAAAATTTAGTACTCTCTGTTATAACTCTAACAAGTAATCAAACCTGAACTGGTTGTTGACGTCGAGACTTTAAATCCCAACCATAACGGTATTATCATGAGAACCTGATGGCTAATGTAATTCTTCATTGAACCTTAAGAGCAACAATTTAAGATTATGATTTAAATTTGTGGGATGAAGGTATATATTGTTCATACTTTACACACAGATACACTACTTGCATGTCCTCTTAGCCTTCGTGTTGGAAGGCCAGATGCAACATCCCATAAAATAACTGATTTATCAGAGCTGCCGGATAGGATCTGTGAACTATCACATGATCCAGCAGCATCAAGAACTTCATTAGCGTGACCTCCATAAGTTTTAAGTAACATGACTTATGAACATTCCAAAGTTTTAATTTTTTATCAGCTCCACATGTTATGCAATATGTACCATCAACTAGAAAAAACATATTTTACTTGAGAGTTTTTGATTGAGAATTATTTTAATGATGTTACTGTTGTATCGAACTGCACGAATAGCACCCTGTTTTACAGTCTATAGTTTTTAAAGGAACTAAAGAATCAATATCCATTTAATAAAGATAATGGATGATTTTATTAATGTTCTGTATATAATGTTCATTTTGTGTTTTATATTCTAGAGTAAGCAGCAGTGCAAAGTGTAGAAGTAAATTTTGTATTAAAAAATTAGATTATAATCAAGTTTGCTAATTTGCTAGGAAATATTTTTGCTATAAAATGTTATATAATTTTTTTTATCTCTTTAAATTTGTATATAGTTGTAGAACTAAATTTGACGTATAAAATTCAATATTTTGATAACCTCACTAAATTGTTAGGTTGTCAGCGTGCATTCGCAAAAAGACAGTGACACCAACATAAAAACAATATTCGATTTGGCTGCGGTCAATTTAAAAACCAAAGTATCGACAAACCTGCCATTTGTTACATTCATACTTTGTCAAAAGTGTTAGTGCAATTTATTTATTTTATTTTGAGTTTATGTGAAACCCATTCAAAAAATGTTTAATAGAATAATACGCTCTTTAAACAAAACCGTAAGTAAAGGAAATATCTCTTACTATTGCAATATCTCTTACTACATGTAATTAATAATTATTATTTTAATTCCAGAACAACTTAAAAAAACTATGCACTGAAATTTTACATGGTGCCCATTGTGGTAGAGCAAACAGGCCGAGGAGAGCGAGCTTATGATATATTTTCTAGACTTCTAAAAGAAAGAATAATTTGTGTAATGGGGCCAGTTCATGACGATATGAGTTCTTTAGAGTAGCGCAATTACTTTTCCTTCAGGTCTATAATAATTAGCATGTTCTATAAGTCTTGAAAACAGGGGAAAATAAAGTTTGGTCTTCAGTCAGAAAGCAGTAACAAACCTATTCAACATGTATATTAACTCACCTGGAGGATCAGTGACTGCTGGTTTAGGGATATATGATACAATGCAATATGTTAAGCCGCCATTCCACTTGGTAAGCTTTATTACTAACAATATTTTGTTTTTTTAAAACTAGACTTCTAAAAACATGTTTCGTATAAAAGCTTTCTCGATAAATCCATGAATTAGTAATTATGCAAGGGCTGCATACTAAACAATAGAATTTAATATGAAATACAAAATATTTCACCTCTATTCAGGTGTGTAGGACAAGCCTGTTCAATGGGTTCTCTCCTGTTAGCCGCTGGTGCACCAGGTATGAGACATGCTCTTCCGCATTCTCGAATCATGATACACCAGCCATCTGGTGGTGCTACTGTAAGTTTAGAGACGCTATAAATAAATCCACATATTTATTTTGCCCTAAAAATATCTAATTAATTTATTAAGGGCCAAGCTACAGATATTCAAATCCATGCTGAAGAGATAATAAAATTAAAGAAAACAATTGACATTAATATATGCAAAGCATACTGGACAAAATACTGAGCTTTTGCATAGCAAAATGGAACGTGATACATTTTTATCTCCGGATGAAGCGAAGGCAATGGGTTTAATAGATCAAGTTTTAGTGCATGCGCCTTCCACGATTACAAAGGGAAGTGCACCAAGTGCAGATGCTCCAAATCCTATTATTATGCCTAAAGATAAAGAA